ATGCTATATAAATCAGGCGAATGATATATAAACAAACCACTCTGTACAACCCGTATTATAGGAATAAAAACTGTAAAGTTTGGTGTATGTACTATACTGAAATGGAGATTTCACTCACTTTGAGAAAACAGCCTTTGAAGATATATTTTAATTGAAATGTACAGACGTAAATAGACAATAAACACTTAAATGTGTATTTTGGATGTTTTCATTACACTAGTCTGAAAGTCGACTGATATGTTATAGAAGCAAAATAGCACAAAATCTCAAAATTGACCAGTGCATGAAAAAAAAACAGTGATTTTGCCTGTAGCGCCTTGCTTTAATACCCAAGAAAGAAAGTCAAGAACCATTGATCATCCTAATTCACAAACACATTGCAAAACTAATGCAAAAATTTCACATTGCACATTGGGACTGTCAGAAGCTTTACATTTATATTTCTTATTCTGCATTCAGATTTCATTATCTTTTGCACATAATATACCTGTACATACAACTGTCGATTTGTATATTTTTATTCTTTATTTACTTGTTCTATTTTTTTTTTTCTGTGTTTTTTGTTCTGTCACTGTCATTCTGTTACACTGTAGAAGCTTCTGTCACGAAAACAAATTCCTCGTATGTGTAAACATACATTTTTTGTACGGGGAAGTCGTGGCCTAATGGTTAAAGAGTCGGACTCGTAACCCAAAGGTTGCGGGTTCGAGTCTCGTACCGGCAGGGATTGTAGGTGGGGGGAGTGAATGTCCAGCGCTCTCTCCCACCTTCAATACCATGACTGAGGTGCCCTTGAGCAAGGCACCGAACCCCCAACTGCTCCCCGGGCGCCGCAGCAAAAAATGGCTGCCCACTGCTCCGGGTGTGTGTTCACGGTGTGTGTGTGTTCACTGCTGTGTGTGTGCGCACTTTGGATGGGATAAATGCAGAGCACTAATTCTGAGTATGGGTCACCATACTTGGCCACACGTCACTCACTTACTTACATTAAACATACCTGGCAATAAAGCTCATTCTGATTCTTCTGATTCTGAGAACACAACTCAAACCACAGGAAGGGATCAAGAGGGATCAATACTTAAGGCTACTAGTGCAGGCTCTCTTTCATTTTTATTGTCAAGCTGTATATCAAGAACAGTTAATCAGAAGCAAGCCACTATGCTCTGTCAAGCAAACGTTATATAGAAGTTTGCAAAGTGAGACAAAATTTGTGATATTCATAACACTGTTTAGCATAATCCTCAGACTGTTGAATAATTTATGTTAATGGTGAACCTACGACCTACCAATACATGGGAAAAGAACAGACACTGACATTTAAAATTGTATATAAAAAATGTATGCTTCATGTTTAAAATAAATGAAATGTAAGACTGCTGAATTAAAAATGGCAAAACTGCAGAACAAAATACTTATTTTACACTATGTGTGTGTGTGTGTGTGTGTGTGTGTGTGTGTATAAATATATATACTGTATATATATATATACACACACACATGCACATTCATATATATCATCAAAACTGATAGCATTGCACAATGCACACAGCCTATACTCCAATAAAACAGTATAATACAAAAGCCCACATTTCTGTGTCTACTTAGCAGAGAAATGACATACTAAATATTTTGTCACCACAATGATGCAGAACGTAATAATTAAGCTCTTTCTGCAGGGATTCGGTATCCTGACAGGCTCTATTTGAGGAAAAAAAGAGGAAGGGTGGCAGGGGAAGGATAATGATCCTCTCCCATGTCTTCTCCAGCGATACATTACACTCCCTGTCAGTGACCTTGAAACACATCAGCGTCAGAGCGCCTGATCCCAAACCGCTTATGTGTCCGTTTCAACAATTTAAAGGAAGTAACAGTGTATTCCTGATTCATAAGTATCATATCTGTTCTCGTAAGGATTTAAGAATGGCTTAGGACTATGTTTTATTGTTTCAGATCTTTTATGGTAGGTGGGGTACAACCACATTTTAGACTTTTTTGACACTGCAATTTACAACCGTAGTCAAGAGATGACACAACAGGAGAACGATCATATGAGCTATACTGTGGCTAGTTTTATCCAGAGATATGGGTGAGATATTTTACTATGCCACCTACATAAAGATGCAAAGGGGACATCTGGAATAGGTCGAGCGATGGAGAAGAATCTCCCTCTGATGTCCTGTCATGGGTGACAACATTAATCTCAGCCTGCTCCTCTGCAGAGGTAGCTTGGATTTCATCCAGGGAGAAACACTGAGAGGCCCAAAGAAAGAGGCTGCATCTTGGTTGATGTAAGAGAAACTAAAGCAGGATTTTGGCTTCTAATGACCCAGATTCTGAAGCAAATTAAAATGCAATGTGGATGTAATTTAAGATGTGCCTACTATGAAGCTCTACCAGGCGACTCTATCAATCTACTATTTTCCCATCACTAGCACTATCGCAAATAGTACCACTTGCATTATTCCCTGAAAAAAATCCCTTGATTCAGCTTCCTATCCTTTAATAGAAAACTATGTGAAGCAACAGTTTCTTTCTTCTCCAAATTGTTGCACAGCCAATTGTTTTTGTTTTTGGCCAGAGAGTCAGCGTTTCCATGGTGCATGGCAGGACACAGCGGGTGAGAGCACCATTCAGAGGGAGAGCGAGAAAAATAGAGAAGGAAAAATAAAGAGAGAGAGATTGAGAGACATTATACTCACAGTGTACAGCTCGTTTGTCACTTTCACCAGCTCCTCGTGCATCTGAATGCCAATTTCTTTACTCTGCAACATACACAAAAATAAAAAAATACACAAAATGGGTCACAAATTAGTCAAACTCTAAACTCTGCAGTAACAATATATTATAGATTAGAATATACTCAAAAACAACAACAAAAAAGTACAGAAACATCTAGAAACATTAAAAACTAATTTACTATTTGCCAGACAAGAAGTATTGCAAACTCAGTTCCATTAATAATTTTTACAACCCCGTGTTTTTTGATGGTGTCATGTTAAAGATGTTGTTTTCCCCTTTTTGTAGACTGGAAATATGCGGAACACATATCTTTTATATAACCTACCAAGCATCACAAACATACATAACCAAGATCCAAAATGCAAGGTTAAAAAAAAATTTTTATAATTAAATGGCACACTTGCAGAATATGTGCTTTATAAGTACTAATAAACAGCCAATATGCTAGTAATATGCATGCTAATAAGCAACTAGTTAATAGTGAGAATTGGTCCCTATATTAAAGCGTTACCAAATAAATAAATAAATAATAAATGAATTTAAAAAAGCAGCTTGGTTTGACAAAGATGACTATGAGTGAATATTTCAGTACTGGTTGATTGGATTGGAATGTTTAATTGGATGTTCTATCATCATCAGGCTGAAGGCTTAATGTTTCTCATTGCTGTATGGTGACCACACTATATTGTCACAATAGCCAAAAAGGCTCATGTTTTCAATCGATCGATCATTTGATACAACGCTTTTCAAATAACCTCTTCAGCATCATTTCCTGCATTTTTGTAAACAGTGGTTCAGACAGGAACCAGGCTGATTCAGATACTCTGACTGTGACACTGAAAACTGCTTATGCATTCCTGTGGGAAAATAATAATTTAATAATGCTATAAACAAGTTAACGGGAAAGAAGACAACTCTACGAGAGGAGAAAAACATTTTGTACCTCCTCCCACCAGCATAGCTACTCCTGCTTACATGCACACCTGCCGCCGTGTGAGCTGAGAAAATGTGTGTGTGTGTGTATAAATATATATACTGTATATATATATACACACACACATGCACATTCATATATATCATCAAAACTGATAGCATTGCACAATGCACACAGCCTATACTCCAATAAAACAGTATAATACAAAAGCCCACATTTCTGTGTCTACTTAGCAGAGAAATGACATACTAAATATTTTGTCACCACAATGATGCAGAACGTAATAATTAAGCTCTTTCTGCAGGGATTCGGTATCCTGACAGGCTCTATTTGAGGAAAAAAAGAGGAAGGGTGGCAGGGGAAGGATAATGATCCTCTCCCATGTCTTCTCCAGCGATACATTACACTCCCTGTCAGTGACCTTGAAACACATCAGCGTCAGAGCGCCTGATCCCAAACCGCTTATGTGTCCGTTTCAACAATTTAAAGGAAGTAACAGTGTATTCCTGATTCATAAGTATCATATCTGTTCTCGTAAGGATTTAAGAATGGCTTAGGACTATGTTTTATTGTTTCAGATCTTTTATGGTAGGTGGGGTACAACCACATTTTAGACTTTTTTGACACTGCAATTTACAACCGTAGTCAAGAGATGACACAACAGGAGAACGATCATATGAGCTATACTGTGGCTAGTTTTATCCAGAGATATGGGTGAGATATTTTACTATGCCACCTACATAAAGATGCAAAGGGGACATCTGGAATAGGTCGAGCGATGGAGAAGAATCTCCCTCTGATGTCCTGTCATGGGTGACAACATTAATCTCAGCCTGCTCCTCTGCAGAGGTAGCTTGGATTTCATCCAGGGAGAAACACTGAGAGGCCCAAAGAAAGAGGCTGCATCTTGGTTGATGTAAGAGAAACTAAAGCAGGATTTTGGCTTCTAATGACCCAGATTCTGAAGCAAATTAAAATGCAATGTGGATGTAATTTAAGATGTGCCTACTATGAAGCTCTACCAGGCGACTCTATCAATCTACTATTTTCCCATCACTAGCACTATCGCAAATAGTACCACTTGCATTATTCCCTGAAAAAAATCCCTTGATTCAGCTTCCTATCCTTTAATAGAAAACTATGTGAAGCAACAGTTTCTTTCTTCTCCAAATTGTTGCACAGCCAATTGTTTTTGTTTTTGGCCAGAGAGTCAGCGTTTCCATGGTGCATGGCAGGACACAGCGGGTGAGAGCACCATTCAGAGGGAGAGCGAGAAAAATAGAGAAGGAAAAATAAAGAGAGAGAGATTGAGAGACATTATACTCACAGTGTACAGCTCGTTTGTCACTTTCACCAGCTCCTCGTGCATCTGAATGCCAATTTCTTTACTCTGCAACATACACAAAAATAAAAAAATACACAAAATGGGTCACAAATTAGTCAAACTCTAAACTCTGCAGTAACAATATATTATAGATTAGAATATACTCAAAAACAACAACAAAAAAGTACAGAAACATCTAGAAACATTAAAAACTAATTTACTATTTGCCAGACAAGAAGTATTGCAAACTCAGTTCCATTAATAATTTTTACAACCCCGTGTTTTTTGATGGTGTCATGTTAAAGATGTTGTTTTCCCCTTTTTGTAGACTGGAAATATGCGGAACACATATCTTTTATATAACCTACCAAGCATCACAAACATACATAACCAAGATCCAAAATGCAAGGTTAAAAAAAAATTTTTATAATTAAATGGCACACTTGCAGAATATGTGCTTTATAAGTACTAATAAACAGCCAATATGCTAGTAATATGCATGCTAATAAGCAACTAGTTAATAGTGAGAATTGGTCCCTATATTAAAGCGTTACCAAATAAATAAATAAATAATAAATGAATTTAAAAAAGCAGCTTGGTTTGACAAAGATGACTATGAGTGAATATTTCAGTACTGGTTGATTGGATTGGAATGTTTAATTGGATGTTCTATCATCATCAGGCTGAAGGCTTAATGTTTCTCATTGCTGTATGGTGACCACACTATATTGTCACAATAGCCAAAAAGGCTCATGTTTTCAATCGATCGATCATTTGATACAACGCTTTTCAAATAACCTCTTCAGCATCATTTCCTGCATTTTTGTAAACAGTGGTTCAGACAGGAACCAGGCTGATTCAGATACTCTGACTGTGACACTGAAAACTGCTTATGCATTCCTGTGGGAAAATAATAATTTAATAATGCTATAAACAAGTTAACGGGAAAGAAGACAACTCTACGAGAGGAGAAAAACATTTTGTACCTCCTCCCACCAGCATAGCTACTCCTGCTTACATGCACACCTGCCGCCGTGTGAGCTGAGAAAATGTAGTGCATTTAACTCTAAAGTCAGAGGCACAATCTGGCAGATATTAGAGGGCAAGAACTCCAGGGAAGCTGGAAACTGTTCACTGCAAGCACAAGTTTTTTTCATTAGGCAGAGAAAGACAGAGACTGGCCCAGACAGACACATTCAGACGCAACAAAAGTCTAGTAAAACTCCCATGCCCACAGAGTCTACAGGTACAAGCATCACCTTTCCTGTCAACTGTTCAAAAACTGTGCGTAGGAATGGTGCATTTCTCTGAGGAGGCTCAAAAAAGAAAACAAATCCGATGACAAAACCTTGCATAGTACAAAAAGAAAACAACACATAAAATGATATCAAATGGCACGTAAAACACTGATTTTTCTAAAGTTGTTATTGTTGACTGAAACTAAAACTATCAAAAAATTTATTTCAGGAATTAAAATAAAGCTGAAAAAATATATAAATATTAGTTGAAAATTTTTTACTTAAAAAAACATTAGAAACACTGCCTTGGCAGCTAACTGAAATAAGTACAATTATTACTAAATCTAAAAATGAAATAAAAATAAACCTAACCAAAAATATTGGACAAAAGACAAAAACACAATCAAATTAATAAACCCGGAACTTAAATTAAAATGATAGTTGAAAATATAAATATAAAAATAAAAGCTAATTAAAATTATTAATAAATACTGTATATAAATAATACTAAAATAACACTACACCACAAGCTACTGGAATGATCTGTCCTTTTGTGGACATTTTGTGATATTTTGATGCAATGATGAGGCTACAGCATGAGTAGTCAGGCCTGTGCTTAGGGATAAAAAATAATCGCTCTCTTCACATGAATGTGTACATACACATACACACACTTATCCCTGCAATCAATTTACACATCTAGTCATCCATTCTAATGGGATAAGCACCTTACCTCATACGGGCCTCAAGCACCTCATGTATATGTGTTGATTTTGTTTTTAGGAAACATATAGACTCAATATAGCACAACATCTGATGAAAGAGATGAAATGCCAGGAGACTTATTTGAGTACAGAATTAATATGGATAATATAGCTAATAATTTTTTCTATGATTTTTTTTTTTTTTGAAAGAATTTGATGAGAAGTGTTTATATTCAGGAATGTTCCCATATTAAATTTAAATATTTAAATAAGCAATTTCATGCTATTGCAGATAACCAATGAGATGTCCAATATTCTAATTGCTTACTATTTTGTAAATTAAAGTATATTAAAGATAAAAATAAAAATAAAATTAAGAATTTGCTACAAGTGAATTTAGGCATCACAACAATATATCATACAGTATAAAAAACCTGATATTTATTTAGAATTTTTTTAAAATGTAAGATTACATTTAACCGTGTATTTATTAGTGTTTTTTAAATATTATTATTATTATTGCTATTAAATATTTTGTTTTTTAAAGACATAAATAAAATTAAAAAATTATATAAATACAAATATATAAATAAATAAATACAATGTAAAAAATTAACAATAAATGCCTGGGTCATATGTTCAGAGAAAAAACATTCACTTATTACCAAGCAAAAATTGCTTAACAAGACAGGACATTATATCTTGTAAGATAATGAGCTGTTCCCTTTTTCTTTATCTTCTCACAAACCCACTCCAAATTCATGCTTTTGCTGAGCCAAATCAGGCATTATTACGGCCCATGGGGATTGAGAATCAGTATTACTGCATACATCACACTCACAGCGCAACAGCTCTCAGTGGAAACACCTGATGCAAAATTATGAAAGAGCCAAAGCCACTGACACACTGCAGTCTCTTGCCTCTGTTAACACTAATATAAGAGCATTCAAAATGCTGTCAAGCTACAATACATGTTTCCTAGTTTTTGCTGCTCATTCATCCTCATCCGACCCACCAGCGAAATGTTTCGCTGACCTCAGGTGTACGTTTCTCATCTCACTGTGTGCTGGAATCCTTTGACGTGGACAAAACTGCTGTTAGCGTTTACTAACTACTATTGAATGTGTCACACATGTAATTAAAGAAAAAGTTAAAGGGGTCATATGATGCGATTTCAAGTTTTACTTTCTCTTTGCCCTTTAAAATAAGAGCTTAAGGATGTAAGGAAGGCAATTCATTATCATTCCAGACAGCACACTCATGTTGCTAGACTAGTGATTCTCAACTGCTTTGGTTTTAGGACCCATATTTTACACTGGACATCAAGGAGTGATCCAACTGTACAAGAGTACCAAAAGTTATCAAAAATGTCCTTAAAAATCACATATTGAAATTTAATAATTATATTATGAACTGTGAGTATGTTCTATTGCCACAGTGTTGTAAATATAATTATAAAATATGAAATTTCTGAACAACTTCGGTTCATTTTAGTGAATCAAAAACACACTGTACAACACATCAAGTGTTGTTCCATTCATGAACAAGTATTGTATTAGTGTACGTTTGTAGTATAATATGTTAATTTTATGAATACACTCATGAACCTGAGTACATATTTCGTTCTCATGTGTCAAGATGTATAGAATGACAATAAAATTAACTGAACTGAACTGAAATGACTCTTTTGAGCCAGTCCTTTTATTGAATCATTAAAAAAGAGTCACATATTAAAGTGAAGTGTTTCTGAGTTTATCATTTCTACTAGGGATGCTCCGATCCGCCTTTTTCGCCTCCGATACCGATTCCGATGCCTAGGGTTCGGTATTGGCCTATACCGATACCGATCCAATACCAGTGAAGTTTTTTTCCCTCATTTAAATAAATGTAGAATTTATATATCTCTGTGTGTGGAACTGATCATCATTCTTTCACAATCTACTAGATACAGACTACTTCATTATAAAGAAAAATAAAATAAACAAATATGAAAAAATATAGGCCTATGTATATTTATAATCTATGACAAAAATGTATCATAAACTAGGTTAGTGGATAATTCGGCAGCAAAAGTTATTCTAGAAAAATCAGTGCACAATAATTTTAGAAATCCAAACATTTAGTGAAAAAACTATATTTTTTGGGGAACAAATAAAAGTGTTGCACTAAATATGTTAATAATAATAAAAATGTTACACATTGCTATTTGTATTATTATAAAATCCATTCATTAAAAACATTCATGAATGTATTTATATATAAGTATATACTATAAAATTAAAATAAATTTCTTTTAAATGTATAGCATATTTTTTAATAAGGCAACAACATATGATAGATACGATAGGACAAAACAAATACAGTGCAGCACGAACTGTTTTTATACAGTCGCGGAGAAAAGAGTTTGTGTGAACTTTAATGTAAGGACTTAAATATTCATATGCAGCTCACATTAAGCTATCGTATGGCTTCAGAAGTAACACAGAATAATTCGCACAATCGGGAAAAAAATAAAATAAAAAATCTCGGATTTGGATCGGCCCTCTCTGACCGATACCCGATCCGAGAAAAATGGCACTATCGGAGCCGATACCCGATATGAATATCGGATCGGCGCATCCCTAATTTTTACTAGTTATAAAAGTTTGACACTAGAAAGGCAATTTTATTTTATATCCACATATTATTAATATGTATGATTATTGGTGATGATATTTGTAAAAAAAATAATTAATGGCATTCATAATGGCAAATTAGAAGGTTCTCTATATTTCTAAGAACATTAACTGAAAAAAAATATTTTTGGACATTCTAACTGTAATATGCCAAAATGAATCAAAATTGAATCAAAATTAACCGTATTCTGAATCACATCGAACTGAAAGTGAATTAGAGTCAAATCAGGAAATCTGTAAAGATATGCAGACCTGTTTATAAATATAAGCCTGTCACATCACAGCAGCACTCAAGCATGCATTCATACAGAGTAGGGTATTTTAGGTGACCTTGAGTACACTCACTGCAAGCAATTAACAGCTTCCCATGGTGCTCTAGGTGTGTTTTATTGGTTCACAGTCACCTCACAGAACCACTCTCCTATGAATGGCGGCTGGAAGCACAGGGCCTCACCTACTGGAAAAGCAGCCAGGTGTAAACACGCTAGTAGTGTTTGGATTACACCACAGGAATCCAGGCTATGTGTTGACAGCGTTCCAACTCATATAGTCCAGACCCCATAAGTCACACCACGGAGAATACAGCCAGTAGCGGCACTTCTCGCCACAGTATGACTTTAACTCTGAGAGGATGTGCATAAATAGGCTGTAGTCACCCTGTGAGACAGCATGCCTTTTAACATGCACATTCATTTTGTCACATACCATCCGTACACACGTCTGCAAGCATTTAAATTCAGCCTAAAATTCCAAAAGAACAGCTCAAATAAGAAGGGAGAAGTTGGTGTGCTAAGAAAAATGTCTGCCAAGAAATTGCATGCAAATGTATAAAGTCATTTGGCTGTGTGAAAGAATGTGTGAAATAATGATTTTGAAGCAGCAAAGGGTGTTATGATTTCCCACATTCGGAAAAGTTCAGTGCTTCCCATGGAAGATTTGCAACTTTTTAATTACACAATTCAGACATTTTTTCCTCGCAATTCTGAGAAAATTGCTAGATATGAAGTCATAATTGTGAGACACAAACTCAGAATTGCGAGATATAAAATTACAATTTTGAGAAAATAAGTCAGAATCATGAGTTAAAAAGTCACCTTTTAATTTTGTTTATTCCGTTGCAGAAACAAAAAACAGAACTGCGAGATATAAGCTAGTAAAAATAAATGAAACATGGATGTATACAAATGTATATGCAATTAAAACAATACCGAATCCCACAATGCAATTAACATTATTTCCTTTTTTTTTTTTTTTTTTAATCTCTTGGAATTTAATAATCTGATCAAATAGCAAGTATGAACACAGAGGTGTCTGTTAATTAAAAGTGGACATGAGATTATAATGGTATTTAAATGGATGTGAGAAGAAAAAGAAGAATGTCAAAGCTATAGACCTTTTTGAAGAGCCGGATGACATCCTCGCTGATCTGAGCCAGGCGAACGATGACATTGTTGATGTAGATATCATTAAGTGTGGCATGATCTCTGCTTTCTCTTCGAGTCTGGTTCAAAACCAGATACCAGCAGTTTACTGAAGAGAGAAGGTGTTGTTCTTTCCTAGAAGGGCAGAGAAAAGGGATAATAATGTTAAATACTATTATAAGTTGGCTTACTTACTTTTTTGCAATTCTTCCCTTCCCGCTGAAATGTTTGGCTTGTTCTCCACATAACGTATCATCTTCCCATAATTGTCAGATTGTCAAATGAAATTCACAAGGCCTGCACAATACATTTTTCCCCTTTGCTGAGTGCATAATTTCTGTTTACTGCTATCATTTTCTTATAAACTAACAAATGCAGTCATACAGTATTTATTCACTGTTATAGGTGGTATTGCAGATTTAAATGTATAGTTCACCCAAAAATGAAAATTATATCATCATTTACTCACTCTCAAGTTATTCCAAACCTGTATGAATTTCTTTTTAGCAGAAAAGAAGATATTTTGAAGAATGTTGGTAACCAAACAGTTGACGGTAGGCATTGAATTACATAATATGGAAAAAAATACTATGGAAGTCAATGGCTACCGTCAACTGTTTGGTTCTTAAAAATATCTTCTTTTGCGCTCAACAGAAGAAAGAACCTCACACAGGTTTGGAACAACTTTTTGGGTGAACTTTCCCTCCCAACACATACAACAAGTCTCCAACACCACATTTACAGTACTCGGCACCTGACAGCAAACTGATCACTTAATACCTTACCACTGCTAAAAATAATGACACCGAGACAAAAATCATCCTAGCTTGAACTTAATCAGCTTTTGGGACCATAAGCTTGTGTTCGGTGCTAACCCTTCACTTCCTTATCCTATCTTCTTAACCAATCAACAAGCTGAAGAAAAGGGAATGCAAAAATAAATAACTGAGTTGTGAGTATTGAAAGCCGAGAGATAGCAGGATGAAGCTTTGGAGGCAAAGGCAATTACTTCAGAGAGCATTTGGACTAGGGAGAGAACATCAAAGGGTGGCCTCTTGCGAGAATTAGTGAAATGCTAATCGCTGCTAATGAGGAACGTATATCTCCCTGCTGCATGTGGCGAACGTTATTAGCCCTTTAATCTGCCCTCAAATAAGGATAAACAGTAAACAAAGAAGCATAGGCCAACCAGCACTCTTTGGGGTTATGACAAGCTTACCAAAAACAAACCCTGCATATCTTAATATATAGAGACATCTTTAAGTATTTCTCAAGTTGATTCCCCCAAAAATGTAAACAGCTGTTTGGACAACCTGTTTGAAATCAGACATTATTTTTTCTGTTTGGTGATGTTAATAGTGCACATTTTAAGGAACCACCAAAATGACTTTTGTTAGTGTATCCTAATGTAGTCAAGTTGATACAGACATGTTATTATTAAATAATAAATAAATAATATTTTGACTTGTATTAAGCAGTTCATTTGACTTGATCAAACACACTTTTCAGGTTACCTCTGAAAGAAAACACATTTCTGTTTTCAATATTGATAATAAGTCATGTTTACTTAGAAGGAAATAATTTCATGCTTTCTGAAGGATCATGTGACACTGAAAACTGCCATCACAGGAATAATTTACATTTTAAAATATATTAAAATAGAAAACAGTTATTTCACAATATTACTACTTTTATATTTTTATTAAATAAATATAGCCTTTGTGAGCACAAAACACCTCCAAAAAGATTTAAAAAATCTTTCTGACCCCAATGGTTTTGAATGGTTGTGTATTAATATAGCACTTTGATACATACTGTACCATGGTACAGTACAGCACATCCAAAAAAAAAACTATGTACTACCTAACAATGGACAGGTCCAAAATCATGGTAAAACATGGTACAATAACATTTAATGCTTTTATTGCATTTTAAACTGATTTTGACATTTTAAACTGCTGCAAATACTCAATGAAAAGATATGAGAATGTCATATGACTTGCAAAACACAAATGCATAAGTAGCACTGTCTGTTCATGCATAGATTCCTCTTAAAGATAAATGTTATATGCAGAAGATAAGAACTGCATTTACAAGAATGAGGAAGAGGAAGAAGTGTAATGCAATGTGCCAGATCACACATATGCCGCAGAAAGGAAATAAGAATGTGCCCACTGAGAAAGCTGAAAGACGAACGGCTTAAAGTGTGGCTGTGCAAAATGATCAAAGATTTTTTTTGCCTCTGCTTTTGAAACTGCCAATTGTAGCACTAGGCCATAGGCTAGATCTCTACAATAGATTAGAAATAGCCTTATTTCATCCAAAACTGCGGAAAGACATACTCTGGCCCTTTTCCTTTATTCTCATTTACAATTTTTTTCAATATTCAGAAAATAGATCAAAAGCACTGCTCTGACTCTACAATCAAGGCCTGAAAAAAAGGATCATATGATTCATAATCACATTTCTCCAATTGCTTTTTTTTATGTCCATGATCCATAATCCATAAAAAGGGCCAAAGATCACATAAAACTCTAAATTTATTTTCAAAGCCTTTGAAACAAGAGTGCAATGCTCTAAGGCTCTCACATACTTATGTTTTCTTTAGGCTATGTGTAGTTCAAGTGCAAGCTTATATTGATATTACTACAAATTATAATGTACAGAAGCATGCAAGTAAGCATATGTAACACACAGATAAAGTGATACATTTTAAGTGTGTATTATTGTGTCTTTTCTAACCTTTAAGGCTATGCAAGAGATCTAAAGATCTCTAATCCTATGCTAAGAAGCGATAATAAGCAGTTATCCGTATTGTACTCAAAAACACCCACACAGAGTATCAGTGGGGTTCAAAATCACTTCACTCTTAGCTTCATTATAGCAACACAATCCATAAAACACAATCATACAATCGCACTTGCCGCCTGCCACAATATTCATTCAAGAAAGTGTTTTTTTTTGTGTGTGTGTGTGCCAAGCCCAATACAGCTTTATCAAAGAGCTTTTAATCCAGTCTGGGGTGGCTTGCTGATTGCTGAAGCTTATCTCCTGACGGAAAAGCAGGGGAAGGAATCAACTGTAGTGGAAACAGAAACGGGGGCACACGCTCCCCAGTTCAAACGCATTTCCGCCTTTTAAGTAAGCTTCAATAAATAGCAATTGCACATTTTTCGCTGGTCCACCAACCCCCCCCAACACACCAATAACACCCACCAATCCACAAAAATGCAAAATGAGGCCACCAATGTATGATTGCTCCCAGCTGTAGACCCATGAGAGGACTGGAAAAGAGAGAGAGGAGAGAATTTTGTCAGAGCAGTGAATGGTAGGACAAGGATTAGCTCAAAAGCTCATTGCTGATGACTCTGACCTCATTAATCTTACATTATTAGCCATATACAGGGAACCTAAGCCAAAAGATCTGAGGAGACTGTGTGTTCGACCTGCGTTGAACGCTTAATTTGGACTCGGCTTTAAAGGAATAGGGAATTCTGTCATCTTTTACTCTTCCTCATGTCATTCCAAACCCGTACGACTCTCTTTCTTCTGTCAAAAACACAAATGGTCAAATTTTTGAAGAATATTCTGGCCACTTTTCAATCATTTTTATAATGAAAGTGAGTGAGGACTGGGGCCGTCAAAAACATGCAAAAAATATGTATAAAAACATCCATATTCCCTTTTAAAATCAAATGACAGCTTTGTGTGAGAAACAGACCAAAATTTAAGTCATTATTCGTGTAAAATATCATTCTGTTTCCCATTGGCACATACAAGAGAGAGGTAGTGATGGTTCATTCATGAATTCAGTTCACAAAATCAGTCGATATGATTTGTCCTTGAATTGGATCAATACTATTTTCAAGTATGACTTAATGACTCAATGACCTTGTCACAATTGTTAAAGTCAACATGAAATGAAAATGTACCCTTTCTATTTTGTAAATGCATGTAATTGATCTTACTGTGAGTGATTTATCCATGTAAATGTACATTTTTTACTTTATAATGTTTCATCTAAATGTCAGATTTTGATCTAACTCAACAGACTACTCTCTGGTGATGTATGCAAAACTTCTCCAACCATTTAGTCAGTTTAAACTCCGCCCCTCCACAATCATCCACAAATTCACATTCATTATGTTTCAGTCTGTTGGCTACACAAAGCTACTGTATGACTTGAAAAACAGTGTATGGGTGATATGAACAAATTTTATTGTACTTTATGGGTTTTGGCATCCTTTTTGAAACTTAATTGAATGGAAAAGACCAGTAAATTATTCTAATATTGTGCTCTACCGAAGAAAGAAAGTCACACGAATTTGGATTGCCATGAGTATGAGTAAATGATTTTTCATTTTTGGATGAACTAATCCTTTAATGTCTAAGTCTGAGAGATTCACTTTCTCAGCACACACGATCCCAAGGGCTTTGGCATGCTCTCTGAGAGGCTTGGCAGTGAGTGAATGAAGGCCGGAGGTGGAAGGCAGGTGCTAACGTGCGAGGAGCGGAATGCAGCAGGAACGTACTGCAGGGCAGTTTGATTTCAGGCTTCTGTCCAATAGGCTACAGCAAATGTAGTCTGCATGCTGCCACATCTACACCAGAGCCGCATCTCACCCCAAACCATCATCACTTTCTTACACTACTTTTTAAAGGCAGCTATCAATGGATAAATAGATATAAGTCTAAAGACAAATCAGCAGCAAACAGTACATTGTCATTACAGTACCATTGACGGTCTGGCATGCAACGCTTGATGATTGTAGCACTGGTCAAAAAAAGTCCTGGCAGACTGTGGGCACTGCTTTGTCCCATAGGCAAGTGCATGAAATTCATGCATAACTTATAACACAATATCTGTATGGATTTATATATTAATGAGATTATGAATTAATACTCAGTGAATAAATGGCATCGCTATGATCATCATGTATAAAATATTTAATATAAATTATTTATGGGTTAATATGTTGTACAGATTAATAAATTGACCATAGTGAAATTAGCACTGATTAAATAAGCGTGTCACCCAAGGGAATATACTTAACCATAAGTAACAATTACCACGTTTACATGCACTTAAATTTAATATTCCGGTGCATATGCTCAATGACTTTGGAATACTTCAATATGTATTCATGTTCCTCTACAGGAAGTACTGAAGACATCCTCTCTGGTTATTAATTAGTAATGGAGAATAGTAATTTAAATCAACTCATTCAATTCTTCTTATCTCACTGCAATAGCATCTGTATTATTTTCATATCACTGAGATACAACAATTGTTTTTTTATTCATAATTTAAATTTGTTTTTATTTTTATATTTCCTGTTTTAAATTTTAATTAAAGTTCTAGTAATATAATTTAGTTTTTTTTAATCTTTATAGTTTTTATTCACTTTTATTTCCATTTTAGTTATTTTAGTACATCAAATTAAACTAAATGAAAATGAGAAATGTTGTCTTGGCAGCTAGCTAAAATAGAAGTTTTTTTATTTTAGTTAAGTTCAAGTTTATTTTATTTCATTTCAAGTAACAAAAAGATTTTTATGTTTTTTGTTTTAGTTAACTATAATAACAGCACAAATGAGTTAAGAACAATTAAGAACAATAAGTACAATTTAAAAAGAAAATTGACATGACAAACTTCTGGTTAATGTAGCAAAATCCATGTACACGCAAATGCAGTCACTGAAACGTCTACAGAAATAGACCTTCTCGATTAATGGAAGATAGCAGAAATTTCTTTCACAAGAATGTCTTTTCCACCCTTATTTAGGTCAATTGTGTTCTGTCCCAAGCAAAATGAAAAATCTAAATATTCGCTTTGTGAATGCATGCAATCATCACAAGTTGGGCGGTCTCAATGCATCCCTTTCCAATTCTTTGCCATCTTTGAATTAAAAATCTGTGTAGGCAATGATTTTTTTTGTCATTTCTAGCAAACCAACCTAGTGTTCACAGTTTAAATTACTTTCCATCAGCCAAGCCACCCTGCAAAATATATACGCAGAGGCTTTGACCCTCATTCATGTATACTTTAAAAGTAATCTATGGCTGCTTTAATGCACAGAGACAGAGCTGAACTGCAGAGCAGACTGGATTAGTATTCAGGTACTGTGTGTTGCAAGTCTCAGCACCAATACACATCAAATGAGACTGCAATAACAACACATGCAGGCCAGGGAACGAGGCAAGATAAGAACAGGAAATAGGGTGAACAGACTTTGTGTTTTGACTGGTAAAGCCCAGCGTGGATGACAAGTCTGTTTTGTGGAGATAAGAAAAGGTATTTATTGACTTGAAACACACGGACACAAACACACACAAACGGCCATTAACGACACTTTTGTAGACACCTTCTTATCTCCTCTAGACATGTCATGGTCTGTCTAGAACTACATAAGTTGAAGATAGTTAGGGTTCTTTTATGCAGGGATTTTTACCTTTATAAATAAAGAGATAGGCAAATAGGTGTTGCATACAGTATTTGTAGATTAAATAACTTAATATGTTTAATCTTGCAAAACCTGTAAAATCTTACTTGTCTATGCATAAAGTTAATAAAGAAGTTTAGTGAAGTATATACCGTTGCTGCATTTGGTTGCTGTGGGCAGTCAAAGCAAAGAAGAGGAAGACATACATAATTATTGCATACAGTATATTATTTATTCCACAGCGCTCCTGAATGGAATGCTTGAGTTAATCTCAGGCAGTAGTTTTCTTATGTAGTTTGCATTAAATTGATCAAAATTGACAGTAAAGACATTTATAATCTTACAAAAGATTTCTAGTTCAAATAAATGCTGAAATTCTTTTGAACTTTTTATTCATCAAATAATCTTTGAAAAAAAGGGGTCATGGTTTCCACTTAAATATTAAGCAGCAAAACTGTCTTCATCATCGATAATAAAAAAGATATGTTAATTGAGCACCAAATCACCATATTAGATTTCTTAAAGATCACGTGACTGAGGACTGGAGTAATGGCTGCTGAAAATTCAGCTTTTCCATCACAGAAATAAATTACGTTTTAAAATATATTAAAATAGAAATCAGTTATTTTAAATTGTAATAATATTTCAGAATTTTTATTGTATTTTTGTTCAAATAAATGTAGACTTGGTGAGCATATGACTTTTAAAAAACTTTTAAAAATTACCAGGCCCAAAATTTTAAACGGAAGTGTATCTATATTATACACATATACATTTGTATAACTATAAACAATATCCTGCAATCAAATGCGTTCCTTGTTCCTGCATACTACTGCATTTTGTCTGTGAAGAGACCATAAAACTGATTCTAATCTGAAAGAGCACAAGTCCATCTCACCACTGAAAAGACAAAAGTTTGTTGTCGACGTACAGTATGCATTGTTTGTGTGTGCTTGATTCTTAGCATGAGTCAGCTGAGCTTGCTGTGAGGCTTGCGTCATCAAAACTAGAACCCAAAAGCTGACACAATATCAGAGAAAAGATATAAGTACAAAAACAGAAACAACTACAGAGAATGACAAGGCCAGACGCAGGGCCAGGAGAGCAGCAGCCATTGGCGTTGTCGTTCCTCATTGTTGTCAGCTGTAATGTAGTCAATGGTGCAGTGAGACTGACCCCGGGAGCAAGCAGCAGACAGCCCTCCTCCACCAGCTGCTATTAATTAAACCCCACCAATCCTGCTGCAACACAATTGCAAAACAAACCTAACAACAGTACATTCGGCAGCACATTCGTAAAGTCAGACTCCAAATATCTAAAAGGGGTTTTCACACCTTAAAATTTATATATTCATTTTTGTCTCATTCCCAGAAAAAGATGAAATCTATCTCAAGCTGTCAGAATGTGTTTCTATAGCCTTATTAGAGTTAGCATTGGTAAAATCCTTTATTTTTTTCACAGCCCACTATGACCAATTGAGGTCTTGTTAGCAGAAGTTTTACTGCAGACTCAGAATCCAATGTTGGCTTGATGCCACAGGAGCCAATAATCACCCGCTGATCTCATGCATGCAAGGAAAAACAGTAGCTGTGTACTGCATTACTGAAATGGTTTTACAACATATATATACACTATGGTTTTCTAATGTAAATTAGTTACTAATGCCATTACGGTCAACTGAATCAACATATGAATTAAAAAATGCTGTTCATTCTCCATAGACTTAAAGGATAGTTGCCACAAAATAGAAAAGTCTGTCATCATTCTGTGGAAAAAAAAGAAGAAGATATTTTGAACAATGTTTCAACTGTTTTTGTCCAAATAGCCAAAGTCAAGGGTCCAAAACAACATTGGACCCGCCACTGACTTTCACTGACATTTTGCAATCTTCTTGTGTTGCATAGAAGATTTATGGGTTAGGAACAACATGAGCATGAGTATAAGACAGAATTTTCATTTTTGGATGAACTATCCCTTTAAATTTGAAAGAGCACAGGTTTGTCAGATAAGGAGTTGCTCAGGTAGAGCAACATTTTTAAGGTCGGGTTAGCAAAGGGTCAATTAGTCTAGAAATTGGAGGAATGAACTGGCAATCCTGGAGTGGCGTGAAGAAAAGTATGTTTTCTTTTGAGGGAACATTTAATTCAAAAGGGTATTTAATTTAAATTAACAGCCAAAGATAACATCCTAATGCGTAAAACGCTACAGGCATTTAACAACTTCTTAAAACTTTGTGTAAAGTAGGGAATGAGGAGCAACCCTTGTCTGAAGGACGATTATATCCAGCAGCAGGAGAGAGATTTAAAATTCACCAGCAGCTATTTCTGCTCTGATAGAAGAAGCACTGAGACAAATGGTGAAACAGACGGCAAAATGAAGAGGAGACATAATCTGGCATGCACAATTAAAGGAACAGTTAACCAAAAAATGAAAATTGTCATCATGTATTTATTATAATCATGTTTGATGTCATTTTTCCCATCAAGCACGAAATGAGACATTTTTTGTAGAATCTTTATGCAGCTATTTTTCATACAGCTCACAGTGACATTACAGCTCATAGTGACTTTCAAGCTCAAACAAGGACCAAAATACATCACAGAAGCCATACAATATATTTGTGTGAGAAACAGGCTAAAATATAAGCCATACTTTTGTGTTCCAAGGGGGAAAAAATCTAGGAAAATCATAAACAAATGGCAGAATTTTAATTTTTTTGGGGTGAACTATTCACACTTGCACATATCTATAAAGTCTCACCTCGGGCCGCGAACCTTTGATGAGAACCTTTCAGCCAGTTTCTCCAGACTGCGAGAATACTCCAGTTGAATCTCGGCTTTGCGCCGAAAAAACTCCTGCAGGTCCTGCAACAGCTGGATCCGAGCCTCTGATTGCTGCTCCAGGCACTTGAACTGCTCCACCAACTGATTACGGATCTCTGAGCAACAGAGTACACATAAACACATTAGTTTGACTCAGCACAATTCTGACATGTACATATACAAAGCTAGTTGGATTCAGATGGACTTTCTCTTCTCAAATAGGCTAAATCCATTATTTAAACCATACAGCTACTGACCAAAGAATTTCCATGATTATTCCAGTCGTTTGTGACTACTGGATACAAATTTTGGGAGTGCTTTTGTACTCCTTACACACATGGAACAATCATTTAGGTTACTCGCAAAACTTTGCAGTGTGTGCGTGGACAAAATATATTCCATCATCCCAGAGTATATATTCATCCAATATAGATATGAAGGAAAACAATCTACCACTTAATAGGAAATCTGTGTGCAAATTGGTAAGGGAGAAATTAAGAAATATATATTTAGCACACCAAGTCAGAACTGTGCTTTGTCCTTTAATAAAAAATGGATGAGACTGAAATCCACACTTGTTTTGTCATAATCTAAGCTTTACAGCTGTTCCTTACCAAACGAATACGTCAACCCTCCCAATTTTCCCAGGATTCTCCTGTATTTTACCATTCTATCCCACTATCATCCCATTTAAATATTTTCCTGTTTTTTTTTTTATTCTTTCTATATAAAAAAAATAAAAAATCCAACTGGGCGTATTTTATATGTTTGCTACATTCGCTTACGGTAAAACTCCCGTAATTTGTATGGGCCAAACCTCATTATATGAATAATCACCACAACAAATTCCGAGGTTGTTCAGTTGCCAGATCTTGTATGAAACGCATCTTTCTCACACGATCGATGCATACAAATTTCAACCTATTTGTCCCCTCAACTTGGCAACCTACAGCCCAGTGATGCTATTGATATGTGCGCAGGTAGTACCGCGGGAAGGAAACAATGATCACTGGTAGAAATGGGAGTAGAAGACTCAGGTGGTGCTCCAGTGAAAAAAACTAAATGTAAATTTACATGTATAATGAGATATAGCTTACACTTTAAATGTATTGTTCTTTCTAATGTTCTAACAATCGACAGATAGATAGATAGATAGATAGATATAGATAGATAGATAGATAGATAGGTAGATAGATAGATAGATA